CCCCCACACAAAAAGAGCTGCACATAACATATAGAGAATATGTAGAATCAATACTACAACATTGCAATACTCCACAGTGTCCGAGTACCCAGTTCACCCTTTAATCGTACCACTCTGCTGCCACCTACTGGACAACCCGGAGCACTCCATGGCACAAAGACATTCAGTTTCAAACTGTGTCCACTTGTTTCAGACCTTGTCAGATGTCGGCTGCGAATAAACCTTATTTTAATTAAATAATTAATCATAAAATAATTTATTTAATATAAGGTTTATTTTAATTTTGACGCTTCCAAAAAAAAAGACAAAATAAAGTATTAGAATTAAGTCCAAATGATTAACTTTCACATTCAAAAGTTATTCAACGTTAAACATGAAAACATTCTGGATTGAGCTATTGTGCTACGACGACAATTAATTATTCTAAAATCGGAAAACTGAAACAATTATGTCCCCAAAGTCAACAGCATTGTTACTTCAGTGGTTAATGATTAAATTGCTAGAAACAAAAGCCGTTACTGCTAATGGCCTGCACATGTGTAACCTTTAGGCGTAAGAGTTCTCACTGGCAAAACAAATAGCTTATGATGCAGTCACAGTCTTCAGACAAACTACACCGGAACCCCCCCACCCCACACTCATTGTGGGATGCCTTCCAGCGTGTGTGAATCTGCGTAGAGTGTGTGAGGAGAGAGCTGCTCTATTGCACTCTGCTGTGGCTGAGCGGACACTATGAGTGGAACTCCGTGGATGACCATGTTCTGGCTGCCCAGGCTGATGTTTGGCACCAGTAAAGTACTCTCCTCACAGGGTAAGGCACACTCCTCCACCGTCACTGTCCCTGCCTGCTTGGACATGTCCTCCGATGGACCGCACACCATGTCGGGAGGAGTTGCCGTGGTCACCATGGTGGTGTTACCTTCTGTCACCACTGTAACCTCCGTTCCACCCTCCTGGATCAAGGCGTTGAGGCCCTCCAGTTCGGAGCAGGTCGTGATGAAGGTCTGCGAGCCGCTGCTGGAGTCCTGCGCGGTTATTGCGGTCTGCAGCAGGGCCTGGTGGAGCGGGTTGCTGGTGTCGTCGGGGCTGAGCTGTGTCAACAGGACCGTCTGGGGTTCGAGGGTGGCCTCTGCAGTCTGGGACGACACGAGGGGTTGCATAGGCGCCAGCAGGTTGACCTGTTGGATCATGGAGTTGACTACCATGTCCTGGCTTTCTGGGCTCAGCAGGACCATGTTGGTCTTATTCTGACTATCCACACCAGCTGGAATTAAGCTGTTCTCCTGGCCCAGAGGGTGAGATACGATGATTTTAAGCTGTGCACTGCTGTAGGGAGCCATGGAGTCAGACGTGATGGGAACTTCAAGCTGGGTGTCGCTTTGTGACGTTGTTACAGGAACCAGGTTGACTGCATCAGCTGGGGTGGAGAGCTGCAGCTGCAACACGTTCTGAGTGTCTCTGTGTTGCTTCTTGTGGCTGCGCAGGGAGTCTTCCCTCACAAAGCAAGCGTCGCACGAGTCACAGCAGAAAGCTCGAGCCGCATCTAGTTTGGCCCGATATCTGGAGCCGACGGACTTTGGAGAGTCACCTCCTCCGCTTTTCCCCACACCTCTGCCACCTTTCCCGCCGCTGCCCTTTTCAGGCGTATCCGAGTGGCACTTCTTTTTGTGGATGACAAGGTTGCTGCGCTGCTTGGAGGCGAAGTTGCAGAAGTCACATTTGAAGGGGCGCTCCTCTGAGTGGATCCTCTCGTGGACTTTGAGCGCCCCCTTGCTGGAGCAGGAGTAAGTGCACTTGGAACACTGGATGGGCTGAACGGGCTGGTGTTCTCGCGTGTGTTGCCGCAGAGCAGTCTTGTTGGCACACTGGAAGTCACAGTGCTCGCAGCGGAAGGAGTTCTCAGTGCCGTGTTTGATCTGAATGTGAGACTTCAGGTTGCCTTTCATGGCGCAGCGGTATTCACAAAAGTCACACTTGTAAGGCTTTTCGCCGGAGTGAATCCGGATGTGCCTCTTCAGGTCTGAGTTGATTTTGAACTTTGCATCACACTGTTGGCACTGGAAAGGTGCATCCCCTTGGAAAATGAAAAAAACAAGACAGAAACACTAAATGACTTCAGTTCAGTCTTAAAAAAACAACTTCAAATCTGGATTTTCTACTACCTACCAGTGTGTGAGCGGAGGTGCACGGTGAGCTGGCTGGAGTTGCGGCTGGCGTACGGACAGATCTGGCATTTAAAAGGCCGTTCGTCGTAGTGGATGCGCAGGTGCTTCTTCAGACTGCTGCTGTCTGCTGCTGCATAGGGACAATGTTTACACTTGTGCGGCTTCTCGCCAGTGTGTGAGCGGCTGTGCATGTTGAGCTTGTCCCGTCGACTGAAGCGCTTGTGGCACAGCTCGCATTCGAACGGCTTTTCACCTGGATGGCGGATGGGGGAAAAAAAAAAACAGCTTGTGTCTTCAATATCTATCTCTGAATGTGCTTAAGAATACACACGTGGAAGGCACTGACGTACCGGTGTGGGTTTTGAGATGCCGCTCCATGTCTTTTTGGCCATACTGTGTCTTAAAAGTGCAACCTGCAGATGAACAGAAACTGTGCTTTCACAAGGTGTGCGTGCAGCCTGTGTACTTGCGGAAAAGTTCACCTAAAAAAGGTGTTCTAAATAAACAAAAGCTAATAACATCTCAGCCGAAAAAGAAGGAGAGGGAACGCGTTATAAACCATAACCGGACGAGAGGCACCCACCTGAGAAACAGCAGCTGTGTCTCTTTGAAGTCAGGGCAGGTTTTAATTTTTTGGAAGGTGTTTTCTGTGCTTTGGTCAGGATCTTTTTGACACCTCTCATAAAGCAGGTCTGGTAGGTTTCCGCGAAAACTAACTCAGTACTGGAATCTGTGCAGGAGGAGAATAGGACTGTGAAATCAAGTGTGCATGCAAGTTACTGACAACAACAAAGCAGAAATATAGTGTTTTACCTGTGAGAGTGGCTGCTGCAGAGGTGGCCGGTGTGTCAGAGGTGGGTAGGCAGCATTCATTTTGCTTATGGGCGAGAAAGACCTGGACATTATTGTACTGCTGCTTGCAGAAGCCGCAGATATGGATGTCTGGGCTCACCTCCAGCACAACAGAGTGCCCTGCAGCGAGTTCAGGAGGCAGAGGACACACACCAGGAGCCCGTTATTTCAACAGGAAGACAACAAGATGCAACACAGAGACGTTAGAGATACATGGCCTGGTGAGGCAGTGTGTTAACAACGGTTCCCCCTTTACCTTCGGCGTTGTATGTTGCCATTTTCGAGCCTGTTTTGCTGGAGATCAACTCATCTTCTGGCTCCCCGACGCACACACGACGTCCACCGTGTTGTTAAGCCGCCAGCCGAGCACAACCAATCACATTATTTGATTCTTACATCATTCTCACGGCTGTGACCCCCCCTCCCCCCCGCGGCGGTCGGGGTAGTGAAGGCATCAACAGTTTACTTATCTGACAGCACCGATACAGATCGGGTTTTTTTTTTACTTTTTTATTTTACGACATGCTACGTGAGCTTTACGGCAGCAGGATAAGCATGCGTTCAGTGCGGGTGACGTCATACGTTGCCTTCACAACGGTGGGAAAAATGTACATCGCAACTCTTGTGCTGTGTTTCAGTGTTGCTACACAACAACTGTTGTTAGAGTTTATATTTTTGATGTTTTTATTTGTTTAGTATATGTTTATAATTTGGAAAGGCAGCTAATTAAAACACCAATTGCAAGGTTTCCTCCTCTGTTTCCTGCTTTTAGACTTCTTACTCGAGTGAAAAACATATTTCTAACACGAACAGGGGCCAACTGTTTAGTAAATGACACTGGGGTCAGTGACATTAGATATTTACGAGCACCTGAACGCAGCATCGCCGTTGTTGTGACTGGGACTCAAACACTTTTATTCTGAAAATCTTATACAGTTAACTGATATAAACCCTAATAAAATTAACCATTAATAAAAAAACGTTAACATGTAAACACCAACGCTTGGCTCGGAGTGACAGACATTTTATTTCTTTTATTATCTTTTCACTATTACCTTGTTTTTCTCGCTTCTAAAAAAAGCCTGGCAAGACTGCAACGTTACTGCCACCTGTCGTATTGGAAGTCCAATAAAAAGGCCCACATTGGCCTACCGTGTGTACTAAACCTATTAGTCTGTTTGGATCGCATAAATAATACCTGACTCGAACCGACGTTTTGCCTTAAAGTTCACCATCAGCCACTGTTTACACAGTAACGTTGGCTCTGCACATTTCAGAATAAAACCTTAACACTTCATGTGCTACCTGAAACGACTTTAAAGAGCATTTCTCGTGTGAGAGGCAAGCTTTGGAGATGAAGAAATTGTTGTAGGGCACTTACGCATACATACTCTACCATCTTTCAAGTAAGGGCAATTTACTGGGCTGTTGGGGTGAGTGAATGAGAATGCCTCTTTTTATGCCAGAGCAGTTGTGCTAGTGTGAATAAGCCATGAAAGTGACTGACACACAGCTCCATTTTCAGTGGCAGGTCCTTAACTGCCTGATTGCCACTGTGAAGCTCAGGAATTTCCTTACGCTGACTTTCCTGCATGGCAAAGGCACAGGACTGATTCCTTCCCTGCTGAAACAGCAAATCCTTGAGACAGACAGGAGGTGCACACACACACACACACACACTCACACACACAATGCTCGGCCTTTCATGGCCTGCCCACATGAATCTGACTACTTGATTCCTGCTGTCTTTGAGTTTGATCCTGTCAGGATTGTCCCCATAGATTCAGATAAATGTATGGTAACAGTTTATGTCATATTAGTAGGAAAGTACTGTTTTCTTAAGGCATTTTGAAAATTGATGACTCTCGGGGTCCAGAAGAAGAAAAGACATGAAAAATAGATAATAATTAGATCTGACCGACGACCATGCAAACTCTTATGTACATAAATCCCCCACAAACTCAGTACAGTTACATCAAAGACCACATTCACATGTGACAGACAAATGACTCAGAGATGGGTTAATTAAAGAAAGACTTATGTCATCCTCCCAGCAGTGGCGGACAGGCCCGAATACTTTGATCTAGACTTCATTTTTACAATCCAAAGAACTTGTAAATCTGGTTATTCACGTTTCACACTCGCAGCCCAGAATTCTTCCTCCCTCGTCAATAAGGAAGTCTTATGATTGATCAGCTTTAGTCACTTCATTATTAGGAAAGCGCTACACCAGCAGTGAAGTGTGTTGCTACAGATATTCCTAGCAGGACTTGCAACTTGATTACTTCTGTTATCGATTGAGCTGCAGATTATTTCCTCAATTAATGGATTAACCTTTTGGTCTCTAAAATCACAGAAAATAGTGTCACCCTTTCCCAGAATGCAAGTTGGTGTATTCGAATTCCCCAACTGGCCACGACCCAAACATATTCAATTTACTATCACAGAAAACAAAGAAAAGACGCAAATCTTCACATCTGAACAGCTGGAAGCACAAAATATTTGACATTTCTGCTTGAAAAATGACTCAAATGATCAAAACTGTTGCCAGTTAATCTTCTGTCAATCTGACTCATTGACGAATTGACTTTTAAGCTCTGATTTATGGTAACACCAAAGTACACTGCATGCTAGTTTTCCCCTTATATACTTTTTGAAAACAATAAGCTCTCATGCATTTGTTGTACTCAGAAACAAAGTATCATTTGGACATCCAGCTGTGCTAATTTTAATTTGTAGATGTGCCCCTTTCTCATTCATGGAGGCGCCCGAGAATTCAGTGAGTGATGTAATGTCCCTCTTTTCCCCAATGAGACAAGGGCAACAATAGGGGGGAGTGCCTCTGTCACATTATTTTCCCCCACAGAGGCACGCCAGCTGCTTACAGTTGCTTAATGGCTACGAGCTGTCACAAGGCATCACAGCCCGCTGCCACACAGGAGCGGCAGATGCTTTAATTGCACAATGACTTGTAGGTTGTCAACAGCAATTATACCAGGCTTCCACCTGAGGGCACCCAAAGAACACCATCTACTCACTTCACTGGCAAGACACAAGCCCCAAAAGCTGGCTGCTACACATAAACCTGATCTCTGAGTCTTGCTTCTGTCCAGACAAGAGCCGCAGACGGATTCCAAGTCTCCTTTTAGCTTAATGGTTTTGCCATGTGCTGCAATAACCTGTGCAGGATTGTCAGACAGCAGGCTCAGGACCCCAAAATCATATTTAGAAATAAAATATTTATCTAGCTTTGTCACCTTAGGGCCCGCTACTCACCGTGCTGCGGCAGGTCGTGGTGTGCAGAGTTTGAGTAATTTTGCTCATTATTAATTCATGTCATTTTTTTCTTCTTTTGCGATTCAGGGGAGGCTCATTCGCCGCTGCCAGTGCTAAGATTATTATCATTAAGAGGAGGCAAATAAAATGGTGAGTTCAAAGCTTTGCCGCAACATGCTTCAGCCCATATTGGTTCAAGTATGTTGACAGTTTGTTATACATAACGTTTTGAGAAAAATACTCAGTAATGTGCTTAGATTTATGGTCTATTCTATTTCTAGACAGCCCTGAGATTATAATCAAGCAACTCAGAAACCAAACACACATAGCGGTCTTCTGTTTGTGTCATGTCAAATTGAATGGGTAAAAGATGTCCCGAGTCCCGTGTTTGTTTTGAGCCATAAGACAAATTATACACACATGTATGAATTCCTTTGGTCAACAGCTGCCATCTCAGCATCAGATAGAACAGAGCCAAAGTCTGGGAACCATCAGATGCCTCCAACACTCCCACTTTATCATATAAAAAGACAGTGTACACAAGCGCACACACAGGCAAGGCTTGTACACACGAGCAAGTGCAGCAGTGCTACACACAAAAGGCGCACATGCTCACACGCAAAACAGCGCTATGCTCTTTGTATCTGCCAACTGATGCAGATGATAGGGCTGCAGATGAGTGCAGGCTAACCAGAGACTAGAGGGTACATGTGGCTTCATAGACAATAGCAGGCCATAGCCTTGGAAGGAGACTATTCAACCCTAAGAAACAAGCTGGGATGTAGATGAAGACAAAATTGTAACCCTTTGATTGTGTATAATAACATTTTTTGAGAATTAAGAATGCAGTTTTTGCTGATGCAGATGTTTGCATGTAAATGGGGCCCATACTAGCAGGTATATAAAATGTAAATGTTGCCTAGAGGAGAAAACATTAACATTCTGGTCTCCTAATTAAATGCGTATTTCTATGAAAACTGAACTATTTTTAGTAGTCTGCTAGTCATTAGGTGTCTGCTTTGGAAGGAAGGGACTGTAGGTGCCTTGTATTTTGCTGTGCAGTCAGCAGGGGGTGTCCAAAATCAGGCTAGAGACAGAGACCCTGTGCTTGTTTGAAGCAGCTTCCAAGGAGTGCTCCAGTTTGTAGTAGCTGACATTTTGGAACCAGTGGGTCAGCAAAATGGAGAAGCCATGAAGATGTATCAAAACCAGTGAGACATTTGATCACAGGATGTGTGTGTGTGTAATTTATTGTGGCTCTTTGCTTTTCTTCATATTGAGTCCTAATTATGGTTGCTGGGAGGTGACCGTTAACATTATTGCAAGTAGGTTTCAGACGTTGCTTTCTACTCCAAAGTAGAACAGAGCAGGAAATGAAGCCATGCACTGAATATTTTGGGTTGAGACAGATCTGCAGAGCTAAATCCAAACAAAAGATGTGCGCAAAACTATGTGTGTGAATGTGTGTGCATGTACATTTTCTTTTTTTGTGTGAAATTGTCAATGATGTCATGATGGAGGATGGAATCTTGATAGTTAGACAGATAACAATGAGGCCGGCTTATTCATGCCCTGCACACACACACA